ATGCAACACGTGTAAAATACATTGTTTATTTACATGAAATTCCAACACGCGCTGCGTGACGACCACCGCGCTTTAAAGCGGAAGAATCGTCACCTGCGCGGGAATTGAGTCCCAAACGACGATAACAACGCACGCTAAAAATGCAAAGGATCATCGGTAGTCACATCTGACGCATGCTTAAAGGGTCTTTTAAAAAATCATTGTTTATAATAATTGAAAGTCAGATTTGAAAACATATTGAAATTTGGAAAACAATTTGACCTAACAACCTGCCATTATGTGCCCTGCTTCACATTAGCGTCATCCTGATAGTTTGCGTGGCTCATTTGCATATACTGTGATTCAGTAGTTTCATCCCGGTATCATGGTGTCATAACTTCTGTAATTACAAATTGTATAGAAGCCAACTGATTTTGAGTTGATGGGATTTTACATGTAAAATTAAATTCTCACTTCGTACATATGCAGAACATCTTCCATTGATAATTGTGTTCACTAAAAAAAATAATGAAATCTGTTGGCATGGCAACAAATCCTGCAATTGGAGAACTGCAACTATCCTGTAAGTTTGTGTTGTCTAATAACAACATGGAAATTGTAACTAATCGAAGTAATTTGCATGTATTTTGAATGGTCCTGCTAAATTCTATTTCAGAATTCTGTTGAATACAATTTCTTATGAACTGGTCAAATCCTGAAAGCCTGTCTATGATGCATAGATTGGTCAGTGAGCGGGGTTCTACAGATAATATGAAGTGGAAATGCTTACAGGGGCAGGGTAGACTTGCGTCTCTTATTTGTCAGTGTTAGTATGTTTAAAATGGTATTTATATGCATTTCATCATCTGGCATAATTTGTAAATGCCTCTGAAAGTTGTTCACATAAACTGGTCCATGCATGCATATCTTTTGACCAACCTGTCGGTGCACGTTTCCGAGCGACCATGCCACGCACACCGAGAGTGCAGTAAATGTAAATTTGCATAATACGAACTGCTTCAGGAGATGGATAAACAAAAAAATATATTTACTCTCCATGAAATCAGTAATATCCGAGTCACATTAAAAAAAATAGGCTTTGATTAGTCTTACTCCACTTTAACAGTTTCCAATTCTTTATTACATTAAACAACATCTAACCAAAGTGTTGATTTCACTCCCGGAGGGGGGGGGGGCTACTTGCATAGAAGTGCAATACGGGTATGTTCCGTCCGACTGGGGTGTCATTTCACGTTATTTTGTTTAGAAGTGGGTGGTCATTTATCAATGGTTTGGTTTCGAAGTGTGTAGCAGTTATTTACTTTTCACAGGTCCTTATATTCAAAGTTAACTTTGAAATACCGGAAAATGCTGAATAAAATGCATCGGCCGGATGCGCTCACTGGTTGCGAAAGTTGTGAGCTGGGTGTTTTTTTTCGCTAAAAACACTTTTGTTTAGAAGTGGGTATATAAATGGGAAAAAAAATGATTTA